GATGCCCTGCTCCGCAGGGCCCTGGTGTGCCTGCACTCTGGATGACCGACTCGACCGAATCCGAACCGAGACGGTAGAGCATCACGAGCCCAGCACAGGGCCGCTTGCAAGACAGCTGCAGCTCCTTTGGTGAATGAGCCAAGCCCACAGCATGCATGCAGTCGCTCGATCTCGATCCCGTTCTTGCAACATTATTTAAACCAGAGGGACCGATGATCTCGATCCCAATCCTGGCTAGTGCAACATACTCTCCGCACTGAGGGGTTTGGAGGAAGCCTGGAAAGAACAGGAGCGTGCACCGTGCAACGTTCCACGCCTTCCTCGTTGATCAGGGTCATACCATACCCAGCCTTAGACAGCTCAGGGATGACATGCCTACGACAACTACAATCAATAGACACATTCCCGCAAAAAGAGCCATCGTCAGGGGGTGGTTCGTGCCACGCCTGCCTGGCCTGGACCTGGGAGTCTTCCGAAGCAGGCTTGGGCAGCTCATCACCTGGGTGCGGGAAGAGCCCACGGCAGAACATTGTCATTCAGGGGGTCAGTCGGATCGGCAGCGTCAGCTTCTTCGAAGATATATTGATCGATCATATCGGCCCGCTCCGAGGAGAAGCACGGGCACTGCCGGAGGCGATGGAACTGCGAGTCACCTAACTGCCCACACATCACACATCGGTCGCCGGCCAATTGATATCCAAGCTCGATCCCTCTACCATGGGTCCAGAGAGCATTACGCACCAGGAAGCGGATCGATCCTTTTAGCTTTGGCCGACCATCTCTTGGATGCGAGCTGGGCACGAATCGCATCGAAACAGAGCCGATCGAAACAGAGGCCGCGCCTAGCAGAATCATCTCTCTCAGGCTTTCTAAGAACCGCACCTCTCCAAATCTCTTTTTGAGCAGGGCAACGGAGGTGGGCAGGACTTCGTCGCCGAAGTCCGTCTTCAACGTCACGAACTTTGTCACATCCCATTTCTGGCCATCGCTCGAACGTCCAATCTCTGTGTTTTTTTCGGTTTCGTGTGTGTGTGTTTTTGGCCAAATGATCAGGGATGCTCCTCGAGGGTCCTCGCTGAGAGAAAAATGCACACGTCCGAGCGATGCCAAGATTTGATCCTTCCCAAAGATAACCCTATAGCTCCAATCGGGCCGCCACTTGACACGCCAGGACGGCAGCAGAACACTGGACGCAGCCTGCCAACCCTCGCGCAGTGCCGGCAACGAGATGGCATGCTCGTACGCGTGGGTCTGGGCGGCCCACTCTTCTTCAGCACTTTCGCATACCTAATGACTGGGGCCACCGCTCCAATCCACGTGGGGTCGAAGATCAGGAGGAGGATGGAGGTAATAGAACGACCCGACGCCCCTGGCCGCCTGATCTTGCCCAACTCAAAGTCCGAGATCCCGTGAACCCCAGCCCCGTACAAGACCCCTGGGAGAGCTCCAGAAACCCAAATGCGCTTTCTATATCTTCCCAGGCTGCAAGACATGCGGACCAACTTCCTGGTCGTCAGCTTCAGGTACTCCACCCGCAACTTGAATTTCTTACTGCGACATCCTATGCGGCGGGGGCGGTCAACTGTGTCGTCGATGCCTAGGTTCACTGCACTGTCCGTGACATCCCCCGCCAGTGGCCGTAGACATTTGTGTAGACGGTCTGACACCTCCCCGCTGGACGTGACAAAGGCTGGCTTCTCGCACGAGGTACTACACTCCATCTCGATGACGATCGCCTGACGCAGCTGGCTAGAAACATACTTGGTAATGCCAACCACTTCATCAGTAGTACCCGTGCTAGATACACCACTATTGTCTATGATCTATGAACTGGCCCAGCTGGGTTTGAGGGGGGAAGACTATCTTGTCGAAGCTCTCCAGGCAATAGACCCGCACAAAAAAGGTAGCCAAGCTGCAACATGCTGCCACCCCTCTAGTGGCGAAATCAGGCCCTGCCACGACACTTAAAAGAGAACTCAATCTTGCACTGCGGTAGGCCGACATAACCAACCTGAACAGCGGCGCGGAAAACTGGTGCTTGGCGCAGTAGAGCTCCGAGGGGCAGGGGGAGAGGGAGGGAGGAGGAGAGAGGGAGGAGGGGAAAGGGGGAGAGAGTGAGGGATGGAGGGAGGGAGGGAAGAGGAGAAAAGGGAGGAGGGGAGGAGGAGGAGGAGGAGGAGGAATAACAAAAGGAGGATGAGGAGGAGGAGGAGGAGGAGGAGGAGGAGGAGGAGGAGGAGGCGGGAGAGGAGGAGGAGGCGGGAGGAGGAGGAGGAGGAGGAGGAGGAGGAGGAGGAGGAAAAGGACGATGACCACCCCCGGCCGACGGTCCTTCGCGGGCTTCTTCTTGGGCGCCATCGAGGGGCGTTCCCCGCGCTCAGGGCGCGCGGCCCCCCTGTGGCAGCAGCCCCGCTGCAGTGCCCGAGGGGCTCGGACCGAAGCGGGGGGCGGGATGGGAAGGAGGAGGAGGAGGAGGAGGAGGAGGAGGAGGAGGAGGAGGAGGAGGAGGAGGGGGGGGACAGGGAGGAGAAAGAGGAGGAGGAGGAGGAGGAGGAGGAGGAATAATAAGAAAAATAAGAATACTAGGATGAGGATGTATATGAGGAGCAGGGAAAAACAGGAGGAGGAGGTGGAGGAGGAGCAGCAGGAGGAGGAGGAGGAGGATGAGGATGAGGAGGAGGAGAAGGAGGAAGAGGAGAAAGAGGAGAAATATGAGGAGGATGATGATGAGGAGGAAGACCAACGAAGCAATGCTCAGCGACAGGGAAGTCGCGCGAGGGGCCCTAATCCGAGGAGGAGGGGAACGCGGCAGCGGAGGCCAAGTCACAGGGCCGTTCTGGGCGTTATGGCTGTTTGTAGCCACGGCCGGGGGGGGGGGGGGGGCGGCGCGCGGTCGCGCGGGGCATCGCCCTCCCTCCCCCCGACAACGACGGGCCCACCCCAGGCTCCACCACGGGCGCCCAGCCTCTCCAAGAAGTCTCCCCCATGGGCGAACCACCTCCGAAGCTCCACCACTACCCTCGGAGCGCTGGAAGAGCTGGCCCCTGCCACCACTCGAGCAGCGACCTCTTGAGCATCACTTAGGTGCGCTGCTTCGCGGGTGGTCTCTGACGTGCCTTTATGAGAAGATGCAGGCTTCTGGACACACGCGAGATGACATCCTCACCCTTGGGCGTCGGTTCGGGGGATGAAAGGCTCAAGCAAATTAGCAGATTGGACAGCTGCGTGCGCACCACACGCGGAGCAACACAATACCCTCATCTGAAACTGGCGGGACTGATGGGCCAACTGGCCTCGCAACCGTCTCCCCCCCGCCTCCAACACCAGAGCCTTTCCGAGCCGACGAGTGCCCTCCCCCTCGAGGCGTCCAGTGGCGGGCGGTTTTGTCAGGACACTGGGACTGGATGTAATAGCTAACACACCTGTCGGGTAACAAGTTTAGGCGTGCCACAAGTTTCTACTTCCCACATGCTTGATTGACCTCTGCTTTGCTATTTTGAACAACTGAAAATGGTGGCGGCTCTTTCTACTGCGGTCATTACAAAGGGAAGGGGATGGGGAACGGGCGACCATGCGTGGAAACCATCTTGGGCGGTTGGTACTGGTATCCCACCCCTCCCGCCCTTCCCTCCCATTCCCCCTACTAGTAGCTATGCTGGCGCACAGCCCAGACGTATGTGAAGTAGCACGCTGTCTCTTTTTCGTTAGAAGAGCATTTGATGTCAGAGGGGCATGCTGCAAATGCAAACATGATGGCTCACCATTGGCTGCGCGACGGAGACATCAATGCACATCTCGAGGCCAAACGGGCTGGACATTTCTACGGGACTGCCGTGCAACAAGGCGCTGCCAACGCATGAGAGGTCTCCATTGCCTGTGCTAGGTGCTTCCCAAGCACCTGCTCTGCTGCCGAACGGAACGAAAATGAGAATTGTAGCGCTGTGCAACCTGCTACTCGCGAACCGTGCAAGAGGAGGTCTTGGCCCGTTACGCGTGGTGGCTAAGTTTTCTCAAAGGCGTTCCCATGGGGCCACCACCGCGCCACTTCTGCGGACACGTCGCACATGATGAGCGCTGGCGCGATAGGAGGGTTTGCAAGGCAAGCAACGGGTTCATCATTCCGTGGTTGCTGTATTGAAGAATCTCCTCCAGAAGAGAAGGGTGCTCATATGCCTTGGTTCGTTCGTAGAACTCCAGAATTTCCCGACATCTTTCCAAAGCCTGACAACAACGCCCGTTGACTTCGCTGCTGCTGTGTGCAAGCCTGCCCTCTCATACGAGACCCTCAAGCATTGCGCAATTTCGCAATATTCATCTACCGTGATCTGGGTATTTCCAGGTTCTCTGCTTGCCTTTCTTGTCGTCCAACCTACACTGATTGCTCTGTCACTGTTGCGCTCTGTTATATGCAGCCTTCAGTCAGCTGAGGCTACCTCTGCAACCCAAACCTGCCCTTCAGATAGGGGCGCGTGCCCGCCTGCTTCCCCTCTGGGTCTCCCCCTTCGCCTTGGATTCGACGTTGTGCGTGGGACTTTTGAAGATGCGACCAGCGCACAGCCAGTCTGCGCTTCGTAGATGCCCCTCTGGGGTGCACCCGTACGCGTGTCTGGTGGCTGGGTGTTGGTTGTCCTGACCTGCATGGCAGGCTCGGGATCTCCGGGATGCCCTTCGCACGGGGCATCAATCGCGCAGGTCTTCGGTTCCTGGTGCGCGGCGTCGCGCGGCACGGTTCTCCCTCCCTTGTCGTGGTTCGCCCCCAGGCGGGTCTCCCCTCCGCTGCGGCTGCCCTGTGCGATTGTCTGAGTGCACTGGCTCCCCCGCACCGGCGCCAGCGCGCTCAGAGCAGCCCCGCCCCGGCGCGTCGCGTGCGCGCCACGCCTCTCGAGCAGACTTCCTCTTCGCGGGTCGCCCCCCGTCGCACTCCTGTGGTGCTGCCACCGCTTCTCCCCCAGCCCGCCCAGAGTCCAGTCCCTGGCCACGCATCGCATGTGTCGGCAGTTGCTCTGGCTCTCTCTCTCTCTCTCTCTCTCTCTCTGTGCATCCCTTTCAGGCGCCTGCCGCCTCCTGCATGCTCTTCTCGAGGCCGCAGTGGCGCCTAGTATCGACCACCCCAATGCGTTTGTGATTCCTGCCTTTGGCGTCGTTGCTACTTCGCCTCGTCGGGCTCTCGCCCCCATGCTCCTCTCTCTCTTGCACTGCCAGTGGCGGTGGCTCTACGCCCCTTCGGCCAGTGCCGCGCGCCCACACACCATCGAGCACGCACCTAGCGAAGCCGCGCGTCGCATCATCAACCTCACACCCTTTCGTTTACTCTTCCTCCTTCTTCTCCATCCTCCTCCTTCCTACCTCCCCTCTCCTTCTCCCCTCCTCCTTCACCTCCCACCCGACCCCTGGGCCACCCCGGCGGGCCGAGCACCGACCGCCCCTGACCTGACATGCACCCGCGCCCGGAAAAGGTCCCCCCCCCCCCTCGATACGGCCCATGGTGGCTCCAAGAGGCCCTCCAGGAGGGCCCGACTTTGCCTGAATCGTGTATCTCCCCTGGTCTCGCCGTTTGTGACTTCCGACGGCTCGAGACGACCCCAGATGCGCCCCAGAAGCTCCCCAGGGGGCCAAGAGACGGGTCAAGAAGGACCCAAGATGACCCCAAAGACGTCCAACACGGCCGGAAAACGTCTCAAGAGGGCCACAAGACGGCCCATTGAGACCCCCAAGACGGCCTCCGAAGACCAACAAGCCTCTTAGGCCCCGAGATGCCCCGAAGAGGCCAGCAAGAGGACCCAGGAGGCCTCCAAGAGGTCTCCAAGGTGCTCCCAACAAGCCCCTAAGAGGTCCCAGGAGGGCCCCAAGAGGCCTCACCTTCCTCTTCCTCCTCCTCCACCTCCTCCTCCATCGCCTCCTCCAGGTCCTCCTTCTTTAATTCACTATCCTCTCTCTTTCTTTCCCAAGTGTTTCCCCCATGGGTTTCCACAACGGCTGGAGGAATAGTCCAACCTTCGATCGTTAGGCTACGTGGGCGTTTCCAGAAAGGCAGGGGGTGGCGGTGATTCGCCAGAAGCGTCTTCGATCTGCCGCCCCCGCTGCTTGTGAAGGGGCGCGCGGTACGCTGAGTCTTGACTGGCCATGCGGACCTTTCCGAAAGGTTCCCAGTGGCCTCTGGCACAACCCACTGGCAACCAGGAAGAACCAGCAAGTGTCGGAGGCAAGGGCTCTTCCTGCCCGAGAAAACTTCAAGAGTGCCTCCAAGATGGCCTCCCATACGCCTCGAAGACCTCTAAGATGGCCCGCCAAAGGCCTCCAAGTTCGCCCAAGATTCCTCCAAGACTGCTCGATATAACCTCAACATTGCCTGAGACGGCCCAAGAGTCCAAGAGGCCTCCAATATGCCCTCCAGGAGGGCCTGAGGAGCCCTGAACCACAAAGCTTACCAATGTTGTTCCAAAGATTTTCGTGCTCTCGCGCTTTCGGGCCTCTGGCAGCCGGAGACGGCCCAGGGGCCTACAGGACTGTCCCCACGACGGCTCAATAAGCCCCCGAGAGCGCCCAAAGACGGGCCAAGAGGCTCTCAAGACGGCCCCCGGATGGCCCGCCCCCCATTCCAAATCAACAAGCTGCACGCGTCGTCAATTCCCAATCATCAATGTTGCACAAATTCGAAAAACGAGCCTGGCCCGACAAAACGAGAAAGGGTGCACAAGTTGTCTGTTCCCATGGAAACAAAACTGCAAAAGGCGTCAATTCGAATTCAAAAAATCTGCACAAGTTCGACAACCGAGCCCAGCCCGAGACAACGAAAAAGGTTGCACATCTTGTCTGTTTCAAATCAAGAAATCGGCACAAGTATTCAACAAGGTTGCACACATTCGCAAATCGAGCCCGAGCCGGCAGATCGACAAAGGTGGCACAACTCGTCGGTTCCCAGTCGGGAAGTTGCACAGGGTGCTAGTTCTTACTCAGAAAAGTTGCGCAGGTTCGAATACCGAGCCCACCCCGACAAAACGAAACATGTTGCACACCTCGTGGATTCCCAATCATAAGCGGCTACACAAGTCGTCAACTCTCGACCCGACAGAACGAAAAAGGTTGCACAACTCGTCGGGTCCCAATCAAAAGCGCTGCACAAGTCGTGAGTTATCACTCAAGAAAATTGCACAAATTTGGAAAACGAGCCCGAACCGACAAAACGAGAAAGGTTGCACAACTCGTCGAGGTGCAACGAGAAGAAGGTGCACAAATCTTAGTTCTCATTCAAAAAGGTTGCACAAGTTCGAGAACCGAAACCAAACTGAGAAAACGAAGAAGGTTGCACAATTCTTTGGTTTCCGATCAGAAGAAGCAGCACAAGTTGTCAATTCTGTTCCAACAAGGTTGCGCAAGTTTGAAAAGCGAGCCCGGTGCGACAAAACGAACAAGGTTGCACAACTCGTCGGTTCCCAATCACAGTCGCTGCACACGTCGTCACTTCTTTTCAAAAAGATCGCACATGTTCGAAATCCGAGCCCGATCCGACAAAACAGAAAACATGCGCGCTTTCGAGAAACCCTCCGCTCCATACACGATCAACGGTTGATCTCATTGGCATGTATAAGTTCCAACTTCGACCGTCTGGGTAATAAGTCTAGGTTCGTATATTGACAACTGATTCTCAACATCCCAGGGCTAAGGTTTTACAAGATGGCCCCAATGTGGCCTACAAAGGCCCCAGGATGCCACCAGGCTCGCCAATGCCCCAAGGAAGTCCCAAAATGCCCCCGGGACGTCCCAAGTTAGCCCGCAGAGGTCGCAAGATACCCCTAGGCTTGCCCAAAGGTAGTTCGCAGAGGCCCTAATGTGCTCCCGAGCTGCCCAAAGATGGCTCCAAAGGGCCCCACGAACGCCCCAAAAGGGCCCCCGCAAGATGGCTCAACCTGGAGGGCTGGCGGGGAAGGGGGCAGTCATTCAGATGCAGAGAGAAAGTCAGATAACCTGAACAAGAAAAAAGAGTGTGAGAGAGAGGGGGAGAGAGAGAGAGAGAGAGAGAGAGAGAAAGAGAAAAACAAACAACATAGCCTTTAAGTCAAAGGAAACGGTAACGAACACATATGCATGAAGACCACAATGTCGATAACGACTGTGTGAGAGAGGGGAGAAGAACACGAACGCGAACATAGACACAGCAGGAATTCAGTCGTAAACTGATTTAGGCAGCAACATAGCTAATGGGAACTATATGTATAGATGTATGGTCCACCTGTTGTATTACACATATCTAATACAATAGAGGAGAGAAAGAGGGAGAGAGAGAGAGAGATAAAAACAGAGAGAGAGAGAGAGAAAGAAAGAGAAACAGAGAGAGAGAGAGAAAGAGAGAGAGAGAGAGAGAGCGAGAGAGAGAGAGAGAGAAGGATAGCGATCAGAGAAAGAGCAGAGAGATAGAGAGACAGAGAGACGAGTGACATTAGAAACAAAACAACGAACACTTCAACCGCATACACATGGCTGTGACTATAGATGCGGATTAACAGGGAGAAGCGAGGGCATGCAGACGCGCGCCTGGCGGAGCTAGTGAGAAAGGCAGCGCAAGACGTGCAGGAAAGCACAACGACATCAAACCGACACAAAGGGAATGCGGATGGGCAGCGGGAGCGATGCAGCAAATCGGGATACGGCCCTGGCCTGCGATGCATGTCGGGGCACGCTCCGCCCTCCCACAAGTTCGCCGGAACGACAGTATGATGACGCCACATGTGCCTTCAAGACGTGTCAGCGACCCGAAGTCATGCCGTGACCCCCCCCCCAGAAAGCACTCCACGCGACAAGGTTCGATGGGTGCCTGATGTCGGGGGCGGCCAAGAGGGGGCGTCCAAGAGGGGGGTGTGCAGATCATGGCCGGCGGCATGTGCGCGGCCCAGGGACGTAATGAAATAAGAAGAGGCGCCATGAAATCTGGGGAGATATCATGGCCCCCGCCATGATATCCACCCCCCCTAGACATCACCCCCCTCGTTGCCGCCCCCGATGATGGAGGACTTTGGTCATCCAGGGCAAGACGATGTGAGAGGGCAGACGCAGAGACACGTGCCACAATCTGGGAGGTCTATACAAAGGAGACTCCCAAGGACGCGACAACGGATGCGTCAAACAAAATTCAAACGATAAAAAGGCACGCGCCGATGCGTATGGAAAGCTGTATTAGGAGCCGCGCTTCGCGGGTCTACAGTGTGCTTTGAAACACGTCGTGGGGAGAATGGCACAATCCTTTGATACAGACTTGCTTGTTTGGGTAATGCCATCGAGCTAACACTTTAACGTGCATTCCAGCAACATACCCGATCGAAACGGCCGGTCAAAATGAATACGCCCTCCCTGCAAGCTCTCAATAAAACGGATGGTGATGTCGTGCAGCACGGAAGTGGCCGCTACTGCTGAGAAGGCCTGCCACCATGCTTGCGCGACCGGTGAATGTCAGGACCCTATTAGTTTCTGAATCGTCCTGTAGGACTTCTGTAGCTTCCCAGGGGCGACCCCTCCCCTGCACGAGGCGCACGTACCCTTACAAACTGCGCCACCCCTCCCCCCACAGGTATGATTCCCGGCGCCCTTGTAGATCTCTGGACGGCTCCAAGACGGCCGAAGACTGCCCCAAGAGGATGCAAGTGCCAAAACCTTACTCCTCGCCATCGCTCGGACGTGCAGTCTCCGTGCATTTGTCGGTTTCGCGCGTGTATTTTTCCGTAAGATGACTCAAAAGGCTCCTTGATGGCCCTCGCCGAGAAAAATGCACACGTCCGAGCGATGCCGAGTAACCAGAGAAGGCCCCAGCGACACCCGAGTGGCTCCAAGATGCTCCCAAGAGGCCCCAAGAAGACCCCGAGGCGGCGGTCCGGAGAGGCGGGCCGAGAAGAAGAGAGAGGAAGGGGAGGACAGCGAGGAGGGAGGAGGATTGCAGTGTAGCGCTGACTCCCCAAAGGGTGGGAGTAATCTTGTGTGTTCGGGTCGGTTCTTTGGCTCGCCTATCCATCGATCATGTGCTCTGGGGGTGGGGGATCCGCGGGTGTGGGGGGGGAAGGAGCAGCAGCACGACCCCACAGCCTCGACGTCACGATTTTGGCTACAACTGGGACCCCCACAGGTCTCACCCATGTCTCCGTGGCCGTTTCTTCATCCAGCGTTGTTTGTCCACCATCTTTGACGGTTTCTGGCGATGTTCTTAAATGTTCCACGCCCCTCGAAATTCTCGAACATCTTCAGGGGTACCCAGAACGCGGCGAGGTGCCGAGGTGTCCCTGGAACGAGAGCAGCACGATGCGTGCAGACGGTGCCCAGCATCCAGGGATGCGGTGGCGCCCTGCCCAGGAAAGGCCATAATCGAATCGATAAGTCGGATCGGCGACCGACATAAATCGGATCGGCGAAAATCGGTGACCAAGTTGGGAAAAGTCGAATCGGCGGACATCGGCAGGCTAGTATGCCTGCAATGAGAAATCGGAACTCAAATTGGAATCCCAAGTCGAATCGAATCGGAATCGGAAGCCATCAAAGCCGAATCGAATCGGAGAAATCGAAACGAGCACTGCCCTGCCTCGACGGCCCACACTCAACAAAGCCAGTGTTGACTGGAGGTCCCTTTCGGGCCCTTCGGGGGGGCAGGCATCTGGGCGTGCAGCGGCGCCCCGCCTCAATGGCTCACCCTCAACAGCGCCGGTGTTGCCTGAAGCCCTGGAGCCCCCTTTCGGGCCTGTCGGGGGGGGCAGCCCCGCCGCGACGAAGATGCACTCCTGGGAGCACACGGCCGCTGGCCGACACCTCTGCGAATTTTTGCCACCCTTGTCGGGGACGCCGCGGTCGGCGTGTCGGGGGGAGGGGCGGCTGCAAGGGGAGAAAGAGGACGACGGGGGGGGAGGAGGAGGAGGAGGAGGAGGAGGAGGAGGAGGAGGAGGAGGAGGAGGAGGAGGAGGAGGAGGAGGAGGAGGAGGAGGCCGTAGGGAAGGAGGAGGCGGAGGCGGAGGCGGAGGAGGAGGAGGTAGACAAGGAAGCAGGGCGAAGGGAGGAAGAGGAGGAGGCGGGACGGCGGATGCAGAAGCTCTGTGGTGGAAGGCCGGAGGGGTAATCCCTTCGAGGCTCCGCGCCACCAGCACCCCCCCTCGTTTCTCTGTGAGCTTGTCCGCCACGCCACGGGGGCGCCTCCCGGGGCCCCCGTGGAGGACTCAAGTCCTCGATCGATCCTCGATCAGAGCACGTCGATCCTCGATCGATCCTCGGTCCTCGACCCCCCCCTCGACCCGAAAAAGCGTCGATCCTCGATCGATCCTCGGCCCTCGATCCCCTCCTCGACCCGAAAAACGTCGACCCCCGATCGATCCTCGGCCCTCGATCCCCTCCTCGACCCGAAAAAACGTCGACGGGCGGCGCCATCCCACCGCGAGGGGGCACGCAGAGGGAGCGGCGCGGCGCGCCCCACATTGGAGGCGGGGGCCGCGCGGCCATATGCGGCCCGAGAGCCCGAGGCAGAAAGCAGCCGCGCGCACGGAGGAGTGGGGCGAAGCCAGGGCGAGGATTACGTTGCTCCCACCGCACTTAAGAACAGCATCCCAGAAATAATTTTCGAGCGCCCAGAAAAGTGTCGAAACAGAGTCGAAACAGTGTCGAACGAGCATCGCCTCCCAGGGCCCGACACGTGAAAACCCTTCAGTTTCGGCACTGCTCTTGGTGCTCGAAATGCTTCCTGCCTGGTGGTCAAGGCGAAAGTATAGGTTGGAATCTCATAAGACGAGGACGGTGATCGGATGAGGATACGTCGAGGACCTCTGAGATCCGGCGGATCTGAAAGGTGTGTCGGACGCCGCGGCCTTCTCAGAGCACCCTCCGGCACGGATCCGGCCTCGTCCCAGCCCCGCCCGGAGGAAGGCGCCAACTACCGGCGGCGAGCCCCAGCGCGCCGAGCCAGCGCGCAGCGTGACAGCCATTGTGCCCAAGACACGCTCAATCAGGAACCAAGGGGCTCTTCTGGCCGCGGCGAGCCCCGGCCACGAGCAAGTCCCCGACCAGGATCTGAGCAGCGGCCCCAAAGCAGGGCCACTCCGGAACTCAAAGTGGCCCCTTCTGCCAGCGGCTTGACTGTAAACTTTTCAAGGCCCGCGTGGGTTTCCTGGATCAGAGCTGGACCCCCTCCCTGGCACGCGGAGCGCGCCAGGGGCGGCACCGGAGGCGCCGCCAGTGGGGGCCAGCACAGATCCAAGAAATCCGCGCGGACCTTCGAACGTGCATGTTTGAGCATGTCTGTCATTCTTCGACGCTGGCGCCGTCCCTGGCGCGCTACGCGCGCCAGGCAAGGGGGGTTCCAGCGCCGAGCCAGGGCATCCGCGCGGACCTTCAAACGTTCATACCTATGCAACGGTTTGTTGCTCGGCGCGCGCGCGTGGATCGAGCCTGCCGCTTCCAGGCCCCTGGGCAACCGCAGTCTGACCTCTCCCCAGACATGCGATGCCCTGATTCTTACTCGGCGGCGGGCGAGGGGGCGGAAGTGAGAAGGAGAAGGCCTTCTCAGACGGCGGGGCATCTCAGAAGCCCTCGCGCCTTCTGAGAAGTTGTCTGTGCCCTCGGGCAAGGCCAAGAAAGCTTTCCGGAAGGCTGGGAGACTTGAAGGCCCGCCCCTTCTCGCGCCCTCCCCCCCCCCGCGCTCGCCGCTTTGGACGCCAGAAACGGGTACGGAAAACAATTGTACAATGCCCAACAACAAATCTTGTCCCAAGCCAACAGCGGCCGCTGTTGGGCGGGCGGCCTTCCTGTCTCGAACGGACACAGGCCGCGGCGGCGCGGACAGCGAGTCCTGTTCACAACGGAGAGGAACTGCTGTTCTGCTTTTTGGGCATTGCACCCATTCTTTCCGTACCCATGTCGGTCGTCCCGAGCCGCCGACTTACCGTGCGAGGCCCCCGGAACCCTGGACCCTACGAGGCCCCCGGAAGCCTGGACCCTCTCCCCCCGGGCCGGCGCTCTCCTCCCGAGCCGCTCCCTTGGACGGTCCCCCGGGGCCCGACGAAGGCTCCCCCGGAGGCCGAGCCCGGCCAGAGGCTCAGCGCCGCGACCTTTTCTCACGACGCGGGCAGATCCGGAGGAGGAGGAGGAGGAGGAGAAGAGGAGGAGGAGGAGAAGAGGGAGGATAGGAGGAGGAGGAGGAGGAGGATGAAGAGGAGGAGGAGGAGGAGGAGTAGGAGGAGGAGGAGGAGGAAAAGGAGCTTTCCAAGAGCTTTCCCAATCTGACAGGGTCAGAGCTGCAGGAGGGCTTCGAAGAGGCTTCAAGCACGGTCAAAGTGGGCAGGCCCCCCACCCCAGGCCAGCTGGGCCCCCCGGGGCGGGGACGCTGGCCCAGGGTGAGGAGGCACCTCGGCCGCCTTATCTGAAAGGGCGGCCGTTCGAAACTCGAGATAACACCCAGGCTCCCATCCTCGTCGGGGATTGCCCGTCCTGACACTTACACTCCTCTGCGAGGCCTCTGAGGAGAGTTCAGCACCCGCACTTCGAACAAATCCAGTAGTGCTCATAAAAACACAAGGGTGTGCGAAGGGTGGCCAAGCCTAGTACCCGCCGCAATCAGATGCTGCTGGGGCTGCTTTCTGGGAGGGGGCCAAGGCACTCGGAGGCGAACCAAACATTCAAATGCTTATTATTCGACAGTTTACTGGCTGAGCTCTGACAATAAGCTGGTGGTTCTAAACTGCTTGGGCCTGGGCCAGGGCGTACGGCCAAGATCTTCTCAGGGCTCTTCTGACCGGTCTCGCCGAGGGGGCCGGAGCTTCACTCTCAAGAGCATTCAAGGTGGCTCTTGAAATCCGATTTCTAATTCTAAAACCTGTGGCGACGGTCCATTTATAACAACTCAATCTAGCTGCTGGGATGGCATGGTCACTGGCGGCTTTTCCCGCAAACTCATCTGCAACTGCGTTCCCCTGCCATGCTGCAAGGGGCACGCCTCGGGCCCGGCCCTCCTCCCAGGTCTGGTGGCTGTGCATGAAAAAGACCTGCACGTCGGCCTCGCCTCTGTCAGCGAGGCCTGTAGCGATCTGTTCCCACAGATCACCGAGAACGCAGTCAACCTCCAGGCCGACGGTGTCTGCCACGGCGCCAGCTCTTGTAGAGGATCTCCGAGTCAGTCCAAAAGTGCACCGGGCATTGTGTGTGCCGCAGGGCCGATAACAGCGCCGTGATCTCCGCACGGTTGTTGGTTTGCCGCGGCCCTGCCAGCGGGCCCTCAGCTCCTCCTCGAATCGACGGCTCCAGCGGCTGACAGGTGTCCAGGGCGATCCAACTCCAGCCACAGCGCCGATATCTCTCGTCATCTGTTTCCTCTCGGCCGCTGCCGTCGCCGCAGACCAGCAAGGGCTGCCCTTGTGCCGCGATGCGCGGCAAGTGCAGCGCCTCTCCGAAGAGCGTCTCGGTGAAGACTGTGTCGCAATCTGGCGGTGTGGTCCATGCCTTCGGCGGGATCCCTCTCAACCACATGCTTGGACAGAAGTTCTGTCCAGACTCAGCCATGACTAGGAGCTCCTGAGACTTCTCGAAGTCTGGGTGGTCTGGCCTCGCTCTCCACTCCCCCCAGATTCTGTGGAAGTCGTCTGCACGCTGGCGGCAGGAGCAAAGCCCATCTCCTGCGAGTTCTTCCCCAAAGAAGTCCGTCTTCCTCGCAGGAGTCCAGGTCCCTGCTGTCGTTGCTGTTAGGAGGGCGTTCGCCTCTGACAACCTGTTGTTCCTCCTCGGTTTTGCCAGCGTCCTCTCTGCATCAGAAAAAAACAACTCCATTTGCCATCCCTTTGTCAAGGTAACCTCTGGATGCTGCTTTCCACAGTTGGAGCTCAATTTCCGACAAGATAGCTGTGATGATAGTCGCCGGGTTACGCTCGGCATCCTCTGGTTTCATTTCCCAATCATCACCATGTGGATCACTCCATCTCGTAACCGTCTTGGGATCTCAGCCTGCGTCCCAAAGGGTCAAGATCAACGTTCCGATAATCCAACGCCTCTGCCTCCAGCGGTGCTGTGGTGCTCTGTGTAGACGGCCGTACATGTTCTGCCACACTCTGGAAATATCACCTCGTAGGTTTGCACGATTCGCATACAACAAATCAAACCAATCTCGCAGTTGAGCCTTCGGAATCTCCAATGCTGGATCCTTGCCTTCGAGCTTCAAACATGTCGTGGTATTTGCCTGGCCGAGGGCCAGCAAGCGCAGCAACGTACCTCTGGCGGGCACGGCGCAGCGCAGCAGGAGCTTCTCCATGGGACCGCATACCATACATAAGTGCTGGCATTGATCCTTGCTTCAACATTGTCATCCCCTTCTCTCTTCTCAGCCTTTTCAACTTCTTACCCAATGACGTCATACGTTTGTAAGCCTTAGTTCTCCTCTCCGTGTGTGTCGCTCGTCTCCTCACTCCGCGTGCAGCCCTGTCGATGCCCAGGTCTCTGGCCTCTTGGGCCGCACGAATGAGTATACCCTTTCTTTTGAGCCTGCCCGTGATGCGCTTGGTCATGGCCCAATCGGAGCTGATGATCACGCTTTGGTCCGCCAACTCTTGGCCCTCGTCGTCCAAAGCGCTCTCTTGCGCGACGGCGGAGGAGGAGGAGAGGAGGAGGAGGAGGCGGAGGCGGAGGAGGAGGAGGCGGAGGAGGAGTAGGAGGCGGAGGAGGGGGGAGGAGGAGGAGGAGGAGGAGGAGGAGGAGGAGCAGGAGAAGGAGGAGGAGAAAGAGGAGAAGGAGGAGGCGGAGGAGGAGGGGAGGAGGAGGAGGACGAGCAGGAGGAGGAGGAGAAAGAGGAGGAGGAGGAGGAGGAGGGAGGAAAGGGAGGAGGAGGAGAGGAGGAAGAGGAGGAGGAGAAGGTTAGGAGGAGGAGACCGGATCTCGTCGAGGAGACCGGATCTCGTCGCTATTGGAAACCTTGGCCTCTCTTTGGGGGGGAAGGCTCTTCTGCTGTGGTAGGCTCGCTCGTGTGGGAGGGGGTAGCACCCGTGCTTCGGGCAGGGGATCGACTACACAGAAATCGATGCACCCCAGTGTTTACTTGTGTTCGTCGAAGCTGCATACTCTATATATATATATATATGTATATAGATACACGTAGAACGCCCCGCATATCTACGCCGCTGTCTACGCCTTTCCTCGCAGGTTCGACGGGGGGAAATCAGGTTCGAGTCAGGTCAACTCTGTAGCCGACCTCCTCCCCGACTGCTGTTCCTCCTCCCGGCAGCTCGGTGACTCGGCCGCATACAGTCGGGGCGTTGACCTAAGGAACACTAAATAAGGAACGAGGCCCCTTTTTTCCATCAGTTAAACTTCGACTTCCTATCGAAAGCATAAGGAAACCCTGCGGCAAGCTGTGAAACACTTAAGGAACGCGGAGCCCCTCCCCAACGAAAAATGTTCCTTCTTCAGGGCCCCGACTGTAGTTGGTGGCGTCCTCCTGCACGCGACCAGGGCTCCTGGCGCGACGTGCAACGGGTCCCGGCGAGCGCGTCCTCCCGGCCTCCCGCCGGGCTCCGCGGGCGGAGCTGCCCCGGCCTCACCTCCGCTGGCCTGCCCTGACGTCGGGCATGTCCCTCTACAGGAGGAAAATCAAGATAGGCAAAAAATGTCAGGGGACGATTTTTCCTTTTTACAATTGTTGTTATTATTATCATTCGCAGTATTATTATTATTATTATTAGTAGTAGTAGTAGTAGTAGTAGTAGTAGTAGTAGTAGTCGTAGTAGTAGTCGTAGTAGTTTTCTTATTCTTATTACTATTGTTATTATTATTATTAACATTATGATTCTGCTTATGATTACTATCATTGTTATTAATACTATTATTATTACGACTACAACTCTTATTATGATTGGTATGATTCCCCACATGCTTAGTAGGGTTCTGGATTTTTTCCATGCCTCGTCGCACCCGCGCTCCCTCACCTCACCTCCCTCTTCCCCTTCTCACACAACGCAGCACAGCACAGCACAGAAGAGCACAGCACAGCACAGACCAGCACAGACCAGCACAGCTCAGCTCAGCTCAGCATAGCTCAGCATCAGTACAGCAGGGCATAGTAGGCATGGCACTTTCTCGACACCATAAGGGGGTGCGCAGGGGGTGGTCCCTCAGCGTGGCCGCTATACACGACGGTCGTCCAAGGCATAGCATGCGTGGCATTTTCTCGAAACCAAAGGGGGTGCGCAGGGGGTGGTCCCTCAGCGCGGCCGCTATGCACGACGGTCGTCCAGGGCAAAGCAGGCGTGGCATTTTCTCGACACCATAGGGGGTGCGCAGGGGGTGGTCCCTCAGCGCGGCCGCTATGCACGACGGTCGTCCAGGGAATAGCAGGCGTGGCACTTTCTCGACAACATAGGGGGTGCGCAGGGGGAAGTCCCTCAGCGCGGCCGTTATACACGACGGTCGTCCAGGGCATAGCAGGCGTGGCACTTTCTCGACAACATAGGGGTGCGCAGGGGGATGTCCCTCAGCACGGCCGCTATGCACGACGGTCGGGGAAAGCAGGCGTGGCACTTTCTCGACGCCATAAGGGGGGTGCGCAGGGGGTGGTCCCTCAGCGCGGCCGCTATACACGACGGTCGTCCAGGGCATAGCAGGCGTGGCACTTTCTCGACACCATAGGGGGTGCGCAGGGGGTGGTCCCTCAGCGCGGCCGCTATACACGACGGTCGTCCAGGGCATAGCAGGCGTGGCACTTTCTCGACACCATAGGGGGTGCGCAGGGGGTGGTCCCTCAGCGCGGCCGCTATACACGACGGTCGTCCAGGGCATAGCAGGCGTGGCACTTTCTCGACACCATAGGGGGTGCGCAGGGGATGGTCCCTCAGCGCGGCCGCTATACACGACGGTCGTCCAGGGCATAGCAGGCGTGGCACTTTCTCGGCACCCGGGGGTGCGCAGGGGGTGGTCCCTCAGCGCGGCCGCTATACACGACGGTCGTCCAGGGCATAGCAGGCGTGGCACTTTCTCGACACCATAGGGGGTGCGCAGGGGGTGGTGTCACAGGGCTGGTCCCTCACCGCGGCTGCTATACGCGACGGTTGTCCAGGGCATAGCAGGCGTGGCACTTTCTCGACACCATAGGGGGTGCGCAGGGGGTGGTCCCTCAGCGCGGCCGCTATACACGACGGTTGTCCATGGCATAGCAGGCGTGGCACTTTCTCGACACCATAGGGGGTGCGCAGGAGGTGGTCCTTCACCGCGGCCGCTATACACGACGGTTGTCCAGGGCATAGCAGGCGTGGCACCTTCTCGACACCACAGGGGGTGCGCAGGGTGTGGTCCCTCAGCGCGGCCGCTATACACGACGGTCGTCCAGGGCATAACAGGCGTGGCACTTTCTCGACACCATGGGGGGTTGCGCAGGGGGTGGTCCCTCAGCGCGGCCGCTTTCCGAACATGTTTCGTTGCGTTATGGTGGTCTTCCCTGCCGCGTCGTCCTGGCGTCTCAACATTTTGGGTCGTCATCGGCCGAGCTCTCAGCACGCCTTGGTAACACCTCGGGGTCGTGAGCGTGGCACGCTGGCGTGGCACGCTGCCGAAGCGGTATGGGAATGTTGTCGGCCCAGCGGGTTTGCAGAGCAGCCACTCGGTTCGGTTGCTTGATAGCTGCCGCATCGCATCGGAGACCTCGATGCCAAATCGGGGCACCCTGGTTAGTATATCAATGGCGAGGGGGAGAGGAGGAGGAATAGGAGGAGAAGGAGGCTATCATCACTCCAGCCATACTATAAGCACGTGGGGTTCCTCGGTAGCGTACGAATTATTATTATTATTAGTATTCGTATTATTATTATTATTATTATTATTAGTAGTAGTAGTAGTAGTAGTCGTAGTAGTAGTAGTAGTAGTAGTAGTAGTAGTAGTAGTAGTAGTAGTAACAGCAGTAGTAGTAGCAGTAGTAGTAGTAGTAGTAGTAATACTAATAATGATATCATGTATTACTTTATCACTTACTACTATAATAATATATTATTTTATTAATAATAATAATAGTATCATGTATTAATAAGAATCACTATTATTAATAGTAATAGTATCATGTACTGATAATATAATTAATAATAATAACTTATTACTACTTAATTTATTACTTTATGTAGTAGTAATAATATCATATATTATTTTATTAATAATAATATCATTTAATAATATTATTATCATTATTATACTTAATATTACTAGACTATTCTTATTCGTTTTATTACTCGTATTCTTAATAGTATTATGCGTATTACTATTAGTTTGGCCATTTGGTGGTATTTTCCCACATGTTTCGTGGGGTTCTGGTTTTCTTCCCTGCCGCGCCGCACCCGCGTCTCACCTCCCCCCTCCCCTTCTCCTTCTCGCTTGCACACGGACATGCAAGACGTATGCGCCACATACTGGCATCCACATGATACGCACGTCCACATACAGCCGTACACGCATCATACATCACCCTCATTGAGACACACGTCGTCGCACCCCCCATCCCCTCCTCTCTCCTCCTTCCTCTCCTCACCCGCGCTTAACGCATGCACGGCAAGTACATGAGACACGCGTCTACATACAGCCGCACGCTTGCACACACTCGCAAAAACACACACACACACACACACACACACACACACACACACACACACACACACACACACACACACACACACACACACACACACACACACACACACACACACACACACACACACACACACACACACACACACACACCACACACAACACACAACACACAACACACAACACACAACACACAACACACACACACACATGCACACACACACACACACCATACAACGCTAGTGCGCGCCTGGCGTGTTCACTGCAGCGTCAATTGAGGCGTGTGCGCCACATAATGGGCACACACATGAGACACGTCCCGATATGGCCGCGCACGCATCATACACATACACAGAACATGCCATATACAAGACATGCGTGTAGGATTCGCAATGGATGGCAGGAGGGGGGTGCGCAGAGGGGTGGTCCATGCGCGGCCGTTATGCACGACCGTCGTCCAGGCACAGCAGGCGTGGCACTTTCTCGACACCACAGGGGGTGCGCAGGGGGTTGGTCCCTGAGCTCGGCCCGCACGACGGTCGTCCAGGCACAGCAGGCGTGGCACTGTCTCGACACCACAGGGGGTGCGCAGGGGGTGGTCCCTGAGCCCGGCCGCTGTGCACGACGGTCGTCCAGGCATAGCAGGCGTGGCACTTTCTCGACACCATAGGGGGTGCGCAGGGGGTGGTCCCTGAGCGCGGCCGCTATGCACGACGGTCGTCCAAGCATAGCAGGCGTGGCACTTTCTCGACACCACAGGGGGTGCGCAGGGGGTGGTCCCTGAGCTCGGCTGCTACGCACGACGGTCGTCCAGGCACAGCAGGCGTGGCACTTTCTCGACACCACAGAGGGGGCGCAGAGGGGTGTTCCCTGAGCGCGGCCGCTATGCACGACGGTCGTCCAGGCACAGCAGGCTTGGCACTTTCTCGACACCACAGGGGGTGCGCAGGGGGGTGGTCCCTAAGCGCGGCCGCTATGCACGACGGTCGTCCAGGCACAGCAGGCGTGGCACTTTCTCGACACCAGAAGGGGTGCGCAGGGGGTGGTCCCTGAGCTCGGCCGCTATCCACGACGGTCGTCCAGGCACAGCAGGCGTGGCACTTTCTCGACACCAGGGGGTTTGCGCAGGGGGTGGTCCCTGAGCGCGGCCGCCATGCACGATGGTCGCCCAGGCACAGCAGGCGTGGCACTGTCTCGACACCACAGGGGGTGCGCAGGGGGTTGGTCCCTGAGCGCAGCCGCTATGCACGACGGTCGTCCAGGCACAGCAGGCGTAGCACTTTCTCGGCACCAGAGGGGGTGCGCAGGGGGTGGTCCCTGAGCTCGGCCGCTATGCACGACGGTCGTCCAGGCACAGCAGGCGTGCACTTTCTCGACACCAGAAGGGGTGCGCAGGGGGTGGTCCCTGAGCTCGGCCGCTGTGCACGACGGTCGTCCAGGCATAGCAGGCGTGGCACTTTCTCGACACCAGAGCGGGTGTGCATGGGGGGGTCCCGGAGCTCGGCCGCTTTGCACGACGGTCGTCCAGGCATAGCAGGCATAGCAGGGGGTGGTCTCCCTATCCGTTGCAGGCTCGCAGGGCGTGGCAGGCTTGGCACTTCCTCGACACCACAGGGGGTGCGCTGGGGGTGGGGGCGCCACACCGTGCTCGACGCTGACGACCGCATTGACTCAGATGGAGGGCGGCGAAATTAGTCTGGAAGGTCTGCGCAGCTGCCCTGACGCGCTGGCGCAGTGGCGCAGTTCGCAGTTCAAGCATACCATTCAAGCATACCGCCGCCGAGCATGCAAAGTGGCCACATAAGAATCTGAATACGTATGAGGGGTTCCTCGGTAGCGTCATTGTTCAACCATTTTTCGTTTTTCCTCGAAGGTCCCCCCTGTAGGGGGACAAGCCCGAGTCAAGCCTGCCCCCCTCCGGCAGCGAACGCCGTCGGCCCCCGGGCCCCTTGAGGGCAGGGGCCCCCACGGCACGCCCGCGCGGGGCGAGCCCCCCTGCCCGCCGACGGGCCCGGGCCTCGGAGCGGGCTCGGAGGGGACGGAGAGAATCGAGAAGCCCCGCCGCCTTCCGAGGAGGGAACTCCAGGTCCGAGGAGGGAACTCTAGGTCCGAGGTTTTCGGGCGGGTTCGTGGGCTCTTGGCGCCTGCCCGGCCTCGGGATGCGTTCCAGCGGCTGCACCTCGCCGAGAGCGCTCGGGGGGGGCCCAGATCGTCCCGAACGGCCGCCAGAGACACGAGTGATGACCCGAAAGCTGAACTCGGCGGCGCGCCGAGGGGCGGAAGTGAGAAGGAGAAGGCCTTCTCGGAAGGCGGCGGGGCTTCTCGAAAGCCCTCGCGCCTTCTCCCCGTCAGGCCAGAGGGCGAGGCCCGCTCGTCGACGCGCGCGCTGCCAGAGGGGGGGGGTCACCGCCCTGGGGCTCGCAGGCTCCTCCAGGGAAGGGGCCTCTGGAGCGCCCGGGGCCCTCCCGGGGCTCCCAGAGACGCCCAGGTCCCCCCAGAGCTCCGCTCCCCTCTCATCCTCGACCCTCGATGTCCAGGAGGGGGGCGGACGGCCGAGGGAGCCCCCGATAGCCCCAAGGGCTCGCGAGGCGCCCCCAGGGCGCCGCCAAGAAGCCCCAAGAGGCCCCCGGAACCCCTCGAGAGGCCCCCCTCCAGGACCTCGAGGGAACCCAAAGTGCTGCACGCGATGGCCTCCCATGCCCTCATCGAACAGTCGCCGCTCAAAATGCTGGACTGGCACGCTGGCGGGGCTTGCCGCAGGCAGCTGGCTGCTAGCGTCGGCTTCGTATTGCAACCGCATCTAGAACGCGGAGGTCCTACGGCGGGCAGGGCGGCGCAGACTGAAGACCATTCTCCTGGCTCGGCAGCTGGCTCTGTTCCACAGCCTCGCACAGAAATCGAATGACCATCAAGTAAGGAGAGCAATTTTCCGCCAGGACCTGGCCCCGAGCGGGAACCGAAAGAGAGGCAGACCCCAACAGCCGTGGGCTGCAGAGGTACACCGGCAAGCGAAGTTACCTGCGAATCTGCACAGACCTCGCTTGGAGAACTGCATTTGCTGCCACTCGGCAGAAGGCGGGTGGCAATTCGGAAACACGGACCTGCCTAAGGTGTGGATTCCCGCTATTCGTCCTCGTTCTCCCTCTCCTCGTCCTCGCCCTCTTCCCTCTCCAACGTACAGCCATCGTGCTGAACTGAAGAACGCTGATTTCTGGCCACGGCGAACCCCGGCCGCTAACAAGTCCCCCGAGCTGGATATGGGGAACGGCCCGGAAAGCAGAGCCCCTCAGGAGCCCCAAGCGGTCTATATTTCAGCGTCTTGGCTGTACCCAGCTTTGCCGATTGAATGCTGCATGAATAACGGATGCGCTGGCAGGCGAGGTTACGCCGAGCACCTGCCGTCCGCAGCCATGTCCATAACTGCTCACGCTTCGGGTTGACACACGGCGCACACGTCGTTAATCGTGCTCATTTCTGATTGTGCTCGTTTCTAACTGTCCCTGGCCCCCTGGTGGCCAGGAAGAGGCCCAGGATAGAACAATTAGAAATGAAAGGATCTTGGCCCCCCAGAAATCGAAGAACTTTCGAGGAAGTACCATAGAAATGAACAATGTGTACTCTTCTGATCACATGGCCGCCGAAGACACGCATCCTTGGAACCGTGGGATGCTCGCTGGCCGCCCGTCGGGGACGCCCGGTGCATCGCCCAGACTGTGGCCGTCCGCCTCGCCTTCTCCCCCTCTCGCTTGGTGTTTTGTGCCGGATGTTTTGATTGTGAGCAGTGTCCGTGCGGGCAGTCGAGCACAGAGTGCAGCTTTGACCCGCTCAGGCGGATACGTTGTCGATGTGAGTTTGCGGGATGTCCTCTTGGGTACATCGGCGCCCAGGGCTGGACCTAGCCTTTGGTTTTCGTTATGTTTTCGTTTGGTGTTTCGTCTTGCTCTGTGGGAAAAACACACAGTGGGAACAAAAAACATACAAACACACAGTGTGTGTTTTTCCCACAGTGATTTTTGTCCCCACAGTGTGTTTTTTCCTACAGACGTGTGTGTTTTTCCCACAGTGTGTGTTTTTCCCACGTGTTTTTTTTTGTGTGTGTGTGTGTGTGTGTGTGTGTGTGTGTGTGTGTGTGTGTGTGTGTGTGTGTTTGTGTGTTTTTTTTTCCCACGGTGTGTTTTTTTCCCATGTTTCCTGCGCCTCCCTGCCACAACGAAAAACAAAAAAACACAGCCGAACATTCAGCAACACTGCGTTTGGGTCCAGCCCTCTGGGCGCCTCATGGCTGGCGCCCGCCGGGGCCCCACGTGGCCCCCGAACTCCCCTGCCTGCAGACTTGATCTTTAATTGATCTTCACTAGATGCGATCGGGGCGGGCGGGACGTGGGAACAGCAGAGAGGCGGGGTACAGCCACCGGGAGACAAGGAGCGCCGAATGAGGAACGAGGGGGCTTTTCTATCCACGGCGGTCCTTGGCCTCGACTAGGTCCCCCGACCTGGATGAAGAAACTGCCCGGAAACCAGCGCCCCTCCTGACCTCGAAGTGTTCCATATTTATGTCAGCTGCTTGACTGTAGGCCACCAGCTCTACAGATGGAGCTGCAACTCAAGCAGGGCTCGTGAAAGCGAGGCCTGATTCCAGTTCACAACCAGAATCAAAGCACCAAGCCCTCCAGCGGATTGGCTTCTTCAATCCCTGGCGTTAGTTCAGTCTCGGCCTCCAGTGGCCGCTTTCGGGCCCCAAGACAATGAAACATGGATCCCCCGAGGGAGCTTGGAAATCCAGCGTCGCGAGAAAATGCACCACCGTGGGAAATCACGACCAGGGCCCTCGGCCCCACCTCTGTGCGGCATGTCTTGAGCCGCATCGATCCGAGGACGGCCCAGGGGGTCGAAATCAGGCGAAGACGCCCATAGGGAGAACAAGACTGCAACGCCCAGGTCTCGAGGACCGGGCCACGGAAACTGTAAAAAGGTACATGGCGTCGGAGCTCCGGGCGGGCAAAAAAGAAAATGCGGAGGACTTCTCGCCGCCAGAACAGACCGCGCCCGCCGACGCCGCCGAGCCGTGCAGCGAGGGATGCCTTTAATCACCCCGAGCGCTGGAGGCTCGACGGCAACGGGAGTCGTACCGCGCAGCCTCAGCCTCCTCCTGAGGAGGATGTCTGTGGAGGGGGACAAGGCGGAAGAGGGGAAGGGCGAGGATGGGGAGGAGGACCATTGTAAACCCAAGATTCATCAATGATGTTGGCATGCACCCTCCCTCCAGGCTCCGCCTTCACAGGCCCTAAAAGTTTCATCGCCACGGGATAAAATTGCCTCCTTGGGGGAAAACCGCGTGAAAATCCCGAAGCGCCAAAACACCATTCTCGGGACTTCAACGAATCAACGTGACTTTTACGTGTTGACGATCGTGAATCTTGCCAGAACGCCTTCCCTGGGATTTCAACACCGTGAATCAGCGCAACTGTTGCGCCCTGACAATCCTGAATCGCTCCCAAATGTAATTCTTGCTACGCTAACCAGGAGAACCCGCGAAACTTATATAACTGTAAAAAAAAACCATGTGCGCGGCGCTACAGCGAGAACCACATGTTGAAAAGAAGCCGCACCTAACCCGTGAAATCTTTGCACGCGCGAGTACAAGAGCGACACGTTGAAAACGGCCCGCCCGCCATCCGTGAAGCTTCTGCACATTTCCAATGACGAGTGTGCGCGGCGCTAAGGCGACAACCGCATTTTACCCGCCCTCCATCCGCGAAACTCTTGCACACTTTTTATGACCCATGCGCGCGGCGCTAAGGCGACAATCACATGTTGAAAACCACCCGCCCTCAATCCGTTAAGCTCTAGGAGATGTTGAAAACGAGTTAGCGCGGCGCTGATGCGAAAGCAACATTTTGGAAGCGGCCCGCCCTCCATCTGTGACGCGGTTGCCCATTTTTTCCCAAGCTCATAAATGGTAAGGAAGTCTCAAGCAAAACGCGAAGCTCGTCCTTCCGGCTGGCCTTGCCTTAGCGCCGCGCACATTCGATTTAACATGTGCGAGCATTTCACGCATTGAGGCCGGGCCGTTTTCAAAATATGGCTGTCGCCTAAGCACCGCGTACGTTCGTCAAACAGATTGCAGGAGATTCGCGGATTGATGGATGCTTGTTTTGTTCCCAACTATCCTGTGGTGTTGGGTTCTCGTTTTGAAGAGGCAGCGCCACGCGTTCCTTCCTTCCTTCCTTCCCGCTGCCCCCGCCCTCCCCCCCTCCTCCCATGCTTTGCTCTCCGCATGCCCATCCCATTCTGGCACGCCCCTCACACGGTTCGTGGCCCCCCACAGGGAGCTCCACCGAAGGCCCCAATGACAGGGTCCGCATACGGGGACCGCCGTCCATTTTGGCACACGAGGATCGTGGCCCCACAGGGAGCTCCACCGAAGGCCCCAGCGGCAGGTTCTGCATGCGGGGCCCGCCACCCAGTTCGGCACACCGCGCACGGTTCTTGGCCCCACAAGGAGCTCCACCGAAGGCACCAGTGGCAGGGTCCGCATGCCGGGACCGCCACCCATTTGGGCACACCCCTCACACGCTTCGTGGCCCCACAGGCAGCTCCACCGAAGGCCCCAGTGGGAGGGCCCGCATGCGGGGACCGCCATCCATTGAGGCACACCCGTGGCCCCACAGGGAGCTCCACCGAAGGCCCCAATTGCACAGGCAGCATGCGGGGACCGCCACCAATTTTGGTACCCCTCACACGGTTCGTGTCCCCACAGGGAGCTCCACCGAAGGCCCCAGTGGGAGGGCCCGCATGCGGGGACCGCCGCCCATTTCGGCACACCCCTCACACGGTTCGTGGCCCCACAGGGAGCTCCACCGAAGGGCACAATGGCAAGGTCCGCATGCGGGGACCGCCATCCATTTAGGCACACCCCTCACACGGTTCGTGGCCCCACAGGGAGCTCCACCGAAGGTCCCAGTGGCAAGGCCCGCATGCGGGGACCGCTACCCATTTTGGCACAACCCACACGAGGATCGTGGCCCCGCAAGGAGCTCCACCGAAGGCCGCAGCGGCAGGGTCCGCATGCGGGGACCGCCGCCCATTTTGGTACACCCTTCACACGGTTCGTGGCCCCACAGGGAGCTCCACCGAAGGCCCCAGTGGCAGGTCCGCATGCGGGGACCGCCACCCATTTTGGCACAACCCTCACGATGATCGTGGCCCCACAGGGAGCTCCACCGAAGGCCCCAGTGGGAGGGCCCGCATGCGGGGACCGCCGCCCATTTTGGCACAACCCTCACGCGGTTCGTGGCCCCACAGGGAGCTTCACCGAAAGCTCCAGTGGCAAGGTCCGCATGCGGAGGCCGCCACCTATTTAGGCACACCCCTCACGAGGATCGTGTCCCCACAGGGAGCTCCACCGAAGGCCCCAGTGGGAGGGCCCGCATGCGGGGACCGCCACGCATTTCGACACACCTCTCACACGGTTCGTGGCCCCACAGGGAGCCCCACCGAAGGCCGCAGCGGCAGGGTCAGCATGCGTCAAGGCCACCCATTTCGGCGCACCCCTCACACGGTCAGTGGCCCCACAGGGAGCTCCACCGAAGGCCCCAGTTGCACAGGCAGCATGCGCCCGACGCCCATTTTGGCACACCCCTCACACGGTTCGTGGCCCCACATATATATATATATATATATATATATATATATATACATATATATATATATATATATATGGAGCTCCGCCGAAAGCGGTACCCACAACGCGGTATTCACAATTGCGCATTGTTGGGTCTTTCGCCAGGATGATATTCAAATTACCCTGTGACGTACCCAACCCATTTGTATCAATGGAAACGAGGAGTTGGCCGAAACTTGTATGGACAACCAACTTGATGTGTAAGCTACTTGGGGGGCGTCACTGTGCTGGGCCCCGCAAGCAGGCCTCGAAAGTGGCGACAGTTTCACAGATCGCAGCCCCCCAGGGATGGCGAGGTCCCATTTGAGTCCGCGTGTGGCGTCACTGTGCTGGGCCCCCCAGCAGGCCGCGAAAGTGGCGACAGTTTCACAGATCGCAGCCCCCCAGGGATGGCGAGGTCCCATTTGAGTCCGCGGTGAGTGCCCATTGTGCTGGGCCCCCCAGCAGGCCTCGAACGTGGCGACAATTTCACAGATCGCAGCCCCCCAAGGATGGCGAGGTCCCATTTGAGTCCGCTGTGGGTACCCGCTGTGCTGGGCCCCCCAGCAGGCCTCGACAGTGGTGACAGTTTCACAGATCGCAGCCCCCCAAGGATGGCGAGGTCACATTTGAGTCCGCCGTGGGTAACCAACTGTGCTGGGCCCCCCAGCAGGCCGCGAAAGTTGCGACAGTTTCACAGACCGCAGCCCCCCAGGGATGGCGAGGTCTAATTTGAGTCCGCCGTGGGTACCCACTGTGCTGGGCCCCCCAGCAGGCATCGAAAGTGGCGACAGTTTCACAGATCGCAGCCCCCCAGGGATGGCGAGGTCTAATTTGAATCCGCGGTGAGTACCCACTGTGCTGGGCCCCCCAGCAGGCCTCGAAAGTGGCGACAGGTTTCACAGATCGCAGCCCCCCAGGGATGGCGAGGTCTAATTTCAGTCCGCGGTGGTACCCACTGTGCTGGGCCCCCCAGCAGGCCTCGAAAGTGGCGACAGTTTCACAGATCGCAGCCCCCAAGGGATGGCGAGGTCTGATTTCAGTCTGCGGTGGGTACCCACTGTGTTGAGCCCCCCAGCAGGCCTCGAAAATAACGACAGTTTCACAGATCGCAGCCCCCCAGGGATGGCGAGGTCCAATCTGAATCCGCCGTGTGTACCCACTGTGCTGGGCCCCCCAGCAGGCCTCGAAAGTGGCGACAGTTTCACAGGTCGCAGCCCCCCAAAGATGGCGAGGTCTAGTTTCAGTCCGCGGTGGGTACCCACTGTGTTGAGCCCCCCAGCAGGCCTCGAAAGTAACGACAGTTTCACAGATCGCAGCCCCCCAGGGATGGCGAGGTCTAATTGGATTCCGCGGTGTGTACCCACTGTGCTGGGCCCCCCAGCAGGCCTCGAAAGTGGCGACAGTTTCACAGATCGCAGCCCCCCAGGGATGGCGAGGTCTAATTTGGGTCCGCGCGTGGCGTCACTGTGCTGGGACCCCAGCAGGCCTCGAAAGTGGCGACAGTTTCACAAATCGCAGCTCCCCAAGGATGGCGAGGTCTAATTTGGGTCCGCCCGTGGCGTCACTGTGCTGGGCCCCCCAGCAGGCCTCGAAAGTGGCGACAGTTTCACAGATCGCAGCCCACCAGGGATGGCGAGGTCCCATTTGAATCCGCCGCGGGTGCACACTGTGCTGGGCCCCCCGGCAGGCCTCGAAAGTGGCGACAGTTTCACAGATCGCAGCCCCCCAGGGATGGCGAGGTCCCATTTGAATCCGCCGCGGGTGCACACTGTGCTGGCCCCCCCAACAGGCCTCGAAAGTGGCGACAGTTTCACATATCGCAGCCCCCCAGCTGGCACGCAGCGACGAGCGAGGCAAAAGGCAAGGGGGAAGAGAGGGGCGGGAAGGAAGGAAGGAGACGCGCGAGCAGTGCTCTATTCAAAACGAGAATCCAACGCAGGAGGGTTGGGAAAAAGTGGTTCTCGCTGTAGCGCCGCGCATATCTTAAACCACAATTTACACACCCACACATACAAGCACGCACGCACGCACGCACGCACGCACGCACGCACGCACGCACACACACACACAAACACACACTCACACATACACACAACACACACACACACGCACTCACGCACACATACACACACCCACGCACGCACGCACGCACGCACGCACGCACATACACACATACACACACACACACACACGCACACGCAAACACACACACACACGCACACACACACACACATACACACACACGCACACGCAAACACACACACACACACACCCACACACACACGCACACACACGCACACACGCACACACACACATTCACACACACACACACCTTAGTTGCCGAGGGTAGTTGCCTTAGGGATGGACCGAGGGTAGATCGAACGTGGCCAGGATACAAGGGTAGTTACCCTTAGGAAGGTTGCCTATCCTTACCATGAGGGTTGACTGCAAATCGGATCGGCGGAAATCGGCAGCCCAGTCGGGAGAAGTCGAACCGGCGGGAATCGGCAGGCCATTAAGGCGTCCATTCAGA